CCCCCCAGCCCCATTTCAGTGATCTGTAAGAAAAGAGCAAAGTGCATGCTCATTCATTTGTAGACTGGAATCATTAAGCAGTTAAATAGAAGAATTCTGAAATAGTATTTTATGACTTTAAAAATTTAGGGCTGGTGAAAACACTCAACCCTAAATGATGGGAATTTTGTACAGTGTTATACAAAGCTCTGAGCACTGGAATAGATTATTTAATTGTTTTCTTTCTTTTTTAAAATTTACTTGTTTTGGGGGAGAATTTGGTATGGGGCAAAGAAATACCAAAACTAATAGAATGAAATCAACTTTATTCTTTTTTCTCTTATACTAGTAGATAAAAGAAACTTTATAAGTGGGCTATGAGAAGAAGAGAGCTTTTAAAAAGTGTCTAGTTTCCTATAGGAGCATTTATTCAAAAGACAGAAAAACATCTAAAAGTTTGGGCTTCCTCCAAGTCTTTAAAAAACATAATATTTTCAGTTTTCAATGACTGGGCTAAAGATGTTATTTCCTTTAATAAACTGGAGTTTTCAAATAGGTTATCTGTATTTAAAGATGATGAACTTAGATATTTTTCCAATAGTTTTTAAAAAATCAGTATACTTTACACACAAACCTTGGTTCTCAAGTACAGTCCATACCTGTCTCATTTTGCTTATACTGTCTGAAAAAGTAGTTTCAATGCCCAGTTTTGAAACTAAAAGTTAGATTTAAAGTCTATATTACTTTTAATTTACATTTTCTATTTTTCTCCATAATTCACCCTTTTAAAATATAAAAACTGGATGTTTCTTCAAACAGATAGTTTGGTTGATATTTAACTTATGGAATGTCTTTCCAGCAAAACTTGTAGCTGGGTCTTGGCTAAACACCTAAGGATGAATATGGCCCTGCTGTTCAGTGTCTTCTTCCTAAAAGGAATACTGTAATTTCTCATTTTATCTGCCTTAAACATTTATGTAAATAATATTTACCAGTAAAGACTTATCAGTTATATAACTAGCCTTATAGACAAATCTAAATTTTAAATAGCAGGTAACAGAAAACAGATGGGTATGTATTTTATGTTCACTGAAAATTTTTCTTAATGGCAGCCTGGAAGTTAATAATGGGTAGAATTAATTTCTTCTGGATAAATAAACCTATCTGGAGTTTCACAGAATTTTCACATGGCTTTGGATAACTCAGAATCCAGCACAACAAACTTTCTAGTTTGGGGATTCTTTCAAGAGAGCAGTATCATCTGTTCCAGTTGGTACTCTTACATTACCTTCTCCACAGTGAAAACTACCAGCTCTCAAGTCTAGTAAAGGAGCGACAGAGTTATTAAACTTTCCCAAAAGCTGAAGCAGAGCCTTGTTCCCCTCTTGCTGTCATTAAATATCCTGAGATGCTAGGTTGACTAGTGATTAAAGCAGGCCACCATTCCTTTTCAGAAGAGCATGACACCCTCTCTTCATTTCATTTGAAGCACTGTGAAAACATTCCTTTCTCACTTTTCCAAATAAAAGATACACAAATATCAGTTTTCTTTCCCCTCTATTATATGCTGTAATGATTTAATCATTGCCACTGTCAACAGCAATTTAATAAACACATGTAAGGAAATAATCTTTTCTATCAAAGGGATTAGAATCGGCAAACTGCATAACAGTCCACCTCAGCGTCCTCCATTCTGCACTCAGTACGTAGGTGCCCAACTGTCCGACCCAAGGGTCAGCCCTGCACGTGTGTTTTCTAAATGAGCCAATCAGTTTAGATTGTGAAGCCTCACCCTAATCAATAGGGTATGGCACAGTGGCACTCGCCTTAGGGTAAAAGCCCAACAGACTTTGTGTTGGGTGTGCTTGCTCGCCTGATTTGGGTAGCTCTGCACTCTTCTGCAGAAGTCAAGTTTGCCTTGCTGAGTTACTTTCGATTTCTTGTGTCTTTCTTTGTGTCAGGGTCGAAACCTATTCCCAACAATTTGGGGGGTTCTGGGATCTCAAACCATTCAGGTGAGTGCCCCGAACTCCTCACATGGCGGGGAGACACATCTTACTCCCTTGTTGCTGTAGCCTCCGAGTGTTTGGGGAACTGGGCAACTCCTGAACTGGCAGAGACCTGGTGGTGAAGGTCTCTCGGCAACGCAGGAGAGGGCCCGAGCAAGCACCTCTGCCACCAGGTAACTCGGTGCATGGATGAAGGTAAGAAACACCACAGAGGGTGGCAAAGTACTTCCTTGGTGGTCAGGTCATTCTGGAGGCTGCATGTGTGTGAATGAGATGTGTCTGGGACACGAAGCGAATGTGAAGTCCCGATCCACAGTTCTGTTGGTATCTTGGTGACTTCATAGGGCTTAAGGCAGTCCTTCGGGACCTAGTTGGGGGCTTATACCAACCTGCCAACTGCTAAGAAGCACCAGGCTAGAGATATCATCCTGCGAGGGAAATGGCCGGAGATGGACGAAGCAAGTCTGGAGAGTGCAAGAAACCTCCAATGGGGGGGTGGTAAGCCTCCACAGCACTCAGAGCCAAGGATCCAGAATGGGAAACAGAGTAGAAGTACTGATCAGGAAAAGAGAAATGAGGATAAGATCCCCTCAGACAGTCCCCTAGGGAGAATGCTTAATTATTGGAATGATCACCCTCGAACTGAGGGTCAAAAGCAGCAGCAAATGATTAAATTCTGTTGTTTTATCTGGACTCAGGGACCCATCTTAAAGCTGACTGTATTCTGGCCCCAATTCGGGTCAGTTGAAGACTGGGTCTGCCAATTGTTAATTGAATACGTTGATGATAAGAGTCCAGGAAGAAATAGATTATGCTTCACGCTGGAGGAAGGGAGCGGTTGCATTGTTCCCTTTACAAACAGGAGTAGGTGAGACGAAGGAAGGGGAGGGGGAAGACAGACGCTGGGACCCCTTGGCTTGCTCACCTCCTCCCTGTAACTTAGGGAGAGCGCCGCCAGGCCCGCCTTAGAAGTTGGAGAGGGAGAAAGAGAAGTGGGAACAAAAGAAAGGGAGTTTGGGTTGGCCGCAGGGGCCTCGGCACCTCCCCCACCACTTTATCCCTCCCTCCCCTGACTACGGAGAGAAGTGGAACTATGCAAGAAGGACGTTCAGAATTTACCTTTCCTCCCTGAAAAAGAGAAGCCTCAGACATTCTACTCCCTTCGAGAAGTTCCCCTAGGAGGAGGAGGAACTGGTTTTATAAATGCCCCCTTCACTAGTTCTGAGGTTAGAAAATTGAAGAAGGAACTGAAACCTCTCCTAGAGGACCTCCATGGGGTAGCAGACCAATTAGACCAAAGAAAGAGCAATGATCAGGAGGGCAGCTGTGGCGGCTTGGGAGCAAGAACACCCAGCAGGCCAAGGCGTTGCCTCCGTGGAAATGAAATTCCCTAACCAAGAGCCTCAGGGGACAATAATGAGATCCACAGGGGCCACATGAGGGACCTGCGAGACCTAGTTATAAGGGGAATAAAGGAATCAGTGCCCTGCTCCCAGAACATGAGTAAAACCTTTGATATACAGCAGGGAAAGGAGGAAGGACCAGCTGAGTTTCTCAGCAGACTTAAAGATCAGTTGAGAAAACATTCTGGGTTAAACTTAGATGATCCACTAGGACAAGGAATGCTAAAACTCCATTTTGTAACAAATAGTTGGCCTGACATAGCAAAGAAGTTACAAAAACTAGAGGATTGGAAGGATAGGTGTTTAGAGGAACTACTAAGAGAGGCCCAGAAAGTATGTGTGAGAAAGGGTGAGGAAAAGCAAAAGCAAAAGGCCAAGGTAATGCCCTCCACTACCGAGCAAGCCTCACGAGGAAGGGCCCAGGAGCCTAAGGGGCAGCCGCGGGGGCAAGGCCCCAAGGCAATCCCAAAGCTCGGAATAAGCGCTCTAACTGCGGCAGGGAGGGCCATTTTAAGAGGGACTGTGCTGACTTGAGGAAGGAAGAAAAAGTCATACCTCTTATGACTTTTGAAGAAGACTAGGGAGATCAGGGGCTCTTTTACAGCCAGGGTCCTACCAAGAGCCCTTGATAAATTGAGAAGTAGGACCCAATAGAGAGGAACTCATCTTTCTAGTTGATTCAGGAGCAGCCTGTTCCTCTCTCGCTACACCCCTCTGGCTTGAACTTATCTGAGACCCACTTGCCAGTCTCAGGGGTAAAGGGGGAGGAATTTGCGGTCCCCATTTTTAAAGAGACTTGGGTTAGGTATCAGAATAGGCAGACACAGGCAGAATTTCTCTTTGTCCCTGAGGCAGGGAATAACCTCCTCGGCCAAGATCTAATGCCTAAACTGGGAATAGGACTTAGCATCATACAGGAGCAAATTCAGGTTTCCTTCAACCTTCTGTCCACAATGGATGAGGAGAGGATACTCCCTGAAGTCTGGACAAGGGAAGGTAATCAAGGTGGGTTAAAAATTTCCCCTA